CTTGCCCTCCTCTAGCTACGCTCCTGGTTATGAATTTCTTTGCATAATGTTTCGTATGATATTTGTCCACACGACTACTTCAATTAACTACATTATAAGGCATTTTCTCCATCTTTTTCGCGTACTTTCGTAGTGTAACTGGATAGCACAGGTCTGGTGTTCGAATGCCCGCAAGGTCATTGCACATATTTCACATCTCCTGCATAGATAAACCTAATGACTCTACAAGTGGCGCCGGAACTAAAAGGCGGACTATAATTCATCACCACAAGCATCTGGCGATAGGCTCCCCTTATCCCCAGTCGTCCTTTAAAAGGAAGGGCATATATATTTTTTCTTTCATTTCTGAGTGTTTTCGTGATGTAACTTGAAAGTACGTTCAGCTAGGAATCGGAAAGTCTAGTGTTCGAATCCTGAGGAAAGCACTAAAAATTTTTTATATCTTTTGCATCGATAAACTTAATGACTCTGAAACTTTAACAATCTTAAAAATTGATTGAAAATAGCCTTAAATAAAGATCTTTCGATAGAAATTAATCGAAAATAAACTTGATTCTTTCGATACAAATTGATTGAAAAGTAGACCTTAATTTTGTTTTGATAGAAACTGACAGAAAGTAGCCTTGAAATTTTGTTTTTTTCTTTAACTGTGTCAGTTTATTTTGAGACTCTGTACTTTTATCGACTGTATAACGTTACTTTTTTCTTTTAATTATCTTTTGCAATCTATGCAATTTGCTTCGTAGTAAATCTTCTGATAGCTATGAAAATTTAGTTACGAAATTATTTTATTATTTCCGTAATCCGTCTTTCGAGAAGTGTAAAGAGACCCATTGTCTTCTTTGTGGGATTGCTATTACTCAGAGCTCACAACTCTACGCGAGACGAATAAATTATAGCCCGCATCTACCTTTTCATTGTTTTGGGGAAAATTTACATTTTGATGAGACTTGAGACCTTTAGCGGACTAATAAAGTGAAACCTTTTGCAGCCAGTTCTTCTTCCAACATAATTAAATATCGATACTGAACGTCACCCATAACATGTTCTTCAAGGTAGCGGAAAATAAAATCACCTCCATAGACGGCCGAAATTATATGAAACTGTGAATGGTCGTCTTAGAGAGATTTCTGTGCATAAAGCACTGAAAAAAAACCTTCATCTTTTAAACCAGAAGTGCTTTCTGAAATGTTCCGCTTTTAAAATTAGATCACTTTATATGATAAAACATTGTAAAAATTACTTTCTGTCATTTTTCAATAGCAAATTATCTCTCTCTGTGTTCCCTCCCCGCCCAATCGAGTTCTGTATTTTAGTAATTATACGAACAGGCCTTAAATATGTAAAATTTTTATTCAGTATTCATGACATCATATTTATTCCTTACATTTTTGTTTTAGACGAAGATTACAAAATTAATTAAAGATTAATTAAGTAGAGTAATTAGTAACTAGTAAAATTTGACCTTTATGTAGTACTACTTTCAGAAGTAAGAATTTATAATAAATTAATGCATAACAACGAGGTTCCTCTTCATCAGGAACTACTCTACTCCCCCTCCTTCGAATGGCATGATCATTCCCGGTGGCTAATTGCTTTCACAATTGACTCGAATGTCGGACCAGTTATGTATACTTTTGATAGTAGTGTCTTTGCTAAAAGAAGATACTTGTAAATCTGAAAGTTCCTTTTTCCGTGTTTGAAAAGAAAGATCTTGTGTTTCTGAGTTTTATGTTCATGCATATTACCGCGTTTTAGTGTTATGGTATTGCGACATCTGTATCATTACTGCATCACTTTGACCTGAAGGGTGATCATAGTAACTGCGTCTTTAATTTTACATATAACGTCTTGTTAGTCCTCGTGAGATATTACGAGTTTTTTTTTTCCTCATTGGCTTATTTGCAGTGACTTTTTGCTGCATATAACAATTAGTCCATTATTTATTTTCTTGTTGCATAATACTACAGAAGTATCACTTTGTAGAGACATTAGGTATTTTTTGAAAGCAGACAAGAGGAAAAATAGCAGTCGCCTTCGCCGGGAATCGAACCACGGACCTCTGGAATACCGGCCCAGCGTGCAGAACCACTACACCACGAAGGACGCTAGGAAAGTGGGAGAAATACCTTATAACTTAATAACATAATCGTTGTATCCTCTACTGGTACCGACATAATACATTTTCTGATTAATTTCAGTTGTAATTTGACTTCATCGCATTTCCTTTCTATATAAGCAGTATTTTCATAAAACCTTTCCCTGTGCTTACCTAAAATAGCAAATTTCCAGGAAAAATTTCAAGTAGATGTGAAGGAAATATATCTTGAGTTATAAATTTTGAGTTCAAAGTTTAGTAGGTCAAAAGAAATTCCTCCACATATTTTCATGATTTTCAAACTGTTTATTTCCCCGAAGTCGCTGCAATTTTTTGAAATACATCGTGGGATACTTTCTCTATTCTTTTAAGCTATCCCCCCGAAAATGCCCCTAAATATGTGCCCCGGAAAAAAAATTCTTTTTATCACTACTCTAGCAGTTCTGCTCATTTTGTAGCGAATCTGTCTCCTTTTATAACAAACAGTTTAAGAAGGTTCCTTTTCCTACGAAGCTAAAGCTAAAAAAATCCTTCTGCTGTCTATTAAGTTTCATATAGCCACATGTTTCACTAAATGCAGTCTGTTTATAAGGCCATTTCTTGTGAAGTAATGGTTGTCTCTTGTTCTTCTGTTCTTGTTTTGCATAAAATACAACACTATTTGGTAACTCCTTCTTTTTAACAATGTCAGAGCCTTTAAATCAGCTCAGAGATTCCGCTAATAATCTTCATAGTATACAGCATGTCTATGAAAGTCTTTAGACATAGACATTATTCTCACTGTCGTTGGTCCTAACTGTAGTCTTCCAATTAGAAAAATATTTTAAACACAACCTGTATTTCAAGTGCTCAATTTTGTAAAAAATTACGATTTATAACCTAGTATACAGACCTCCTGGTCCCTACAGTTATAATTAGCAAACATTTATTCTCATTCTGAAAAATAAAAGACAAAAAGTTTGACTTCCATACAACAAAATTTAACCATGTTATTTCGTTTAAAGTTTGAGTTCACGTTACTTGAAACTTCAAAGGTCGTATGCAAACTGAAGAGCGGGATTTTAAAATGTGTATGTTATTAAAATAAAATATGAGTTTCAAAATTGTTTCTGACGCTAACAGATTAAATGACAAGCATCAATATGAAAACTGTCGTAAAACATTTTGAGCAATGCAGATTTTTGCAGACTTTAAGTCTTGATATATGGCCAACTCATAATAATATTTTCATACATTAAAAATGGAGAACATTTCTAGTCCAATAATTTTTTATGACAATTAGATTATGTACTAAGACTAAAGCACTAAAACTGCGAGCGAATTTTATTAATATATTTTTAGCATTTGAAAACTTATAAATTACTTGTCCGAAAGTGCTTTCAGCTTACCAAATGTATAAAATAAAAATATAAATTAATTAATGTAACGCGATAGTAAATTGAAAAAGAGTATCACTGAACCTCATTAAACGGGGGGAACAAACTCGAATTAACCCAATTTATTTTTTAATTAATCCCCTCAAAGAGAGCGACAGTGATTGCTTTAGGTTTCTTGAAAATAAAAAGTTGTCGCAAATTTTAAAATTAAACTCCTCGACCAATTTTTGTTGCATGGAAATCAAAATCGTTTTATGTTTATTTTTGATATACCTATAAAATTTTACTACATATAATTATAAACATCGTGGACGGTAAAAAAAATTAAATTTCGTAATTTTTGCAAAACGGATTTGTTTGAGTTAAAAAACACATAACGTGAATACTTCCTCGTTAAAAACATATATAATTTGCAGTACGTATCTACGAACAACGGCTAGGAAAATAAAAGCCCCATAAGGAATTTTATGGACATGAAAGGAATTTTATTTTGAACTTATGTTTTGTCATATATCTCGTTCATGTTGTGAATGTGAACGAATTGGCTTCAGTCCCTTAAGCAAGAGGGAAATTCATTCACAGTAGCTATGAAACTGCCTTTAAATTTTGTTCAGATCTGACGATAGAAAGTCTCCCTTTTCTGAATGATGTGTCAGCTTAAGCTCAGTCATTAGTCCTCGATAATCGTGAAAATAATGCTTTCACTGATATTTACTGAAGCTTGGCTATATTACCTGATATGGATATTGTATTTCATGACGCATATATACTGATCACACTAATAAATTCGCAGCTGGAATTGATAAAAAAAATTGCTACAATTTCTGTAGGCTTTTTTTCCCTGCTTAAAAATGCCATTTTGCTATAAAAATAGTAAATAATTCTTCAAATATGATAAGTAATACAATATTTTAAGGCCAATTTGTGTAAGCGAGGCCTATCTTAAAAAGGACTAATTATTGTCTAGGACAAGAGTTTTGATTTTGTTACGGAGCCGCCTTATCATCTGTAATACTTGCGTGAAAGTGGGTTTTCAATCCAGTATTCTAAAATCTTGATTAGAAATAAAATTTATTGTTTAATGTGCTGTATATTTCAGGTAACAACTCTAGTTTTCTGTATGGTTACACGCACATCACCAGAGAATTTCATGATAAAAGACCCAAATCTACGGGAGAAAATTATTTTATTGTTGACAATTTACTTGGATTCATTACACAAAAATATATTGAAGATAATGTAGTTATCATATGAATTACTTGATAAGTTATTAATGCTGAAGATGCAGTTCTTGTGTTAATGATTAACTAAGAAAACATATAAAACATATGGCAGTTATCGTAACAATTCTCTCATTAGATGTATCTGATGATTTTTCGAAGAAATATTTAAAGAATGAAAATTGCAATTAAACATTATCTTTCCAATGGTGTAAAAATATTTCTGATAATTGAATGCCAAATTATATTAGTTACTAATGTTAGTTACTAATTAATGCTGATTTTAACCGTAATATTTTTATGCAGGGTTCATAGCACTTTATATCCTGTATATATTGGTGGTTATTATAAGTCGAATAATTTATAACAAGTACCGAGACAAAACACCACCTAAAGTTCCTGGTAAGTATGGATTTTTGTTTTAAATATTGCTATTCACCCTCCAATTTTTCGAATAGAGGAGCTAAGAGTAGATACTTTTTCCATAGAGATCGAAGTTGAACCTCCAACACCTGATGAGAAGAGCCAAGTGACTTTTAAGCCAAGTGGCGAAGATGATGATCCCGAAGCCGCAGGAGTAGTCTTACGAAGTATATATAGTTTTTTTTAACCTTCTTTTATGCGAGCTTCTACACGGATGAAGTAATACAGTAATGGATACTTTTAAATTTAATTTCTATCTAAAAAAGCATGTTACCTTATCATAACACAAAATAAATTAAATAAGTTGACAAATCATTTCGGAATTCCAACACAGTACAAAAATATCGGATGACTGTTTAGTCGAAACAAAACGTAGCGGAAAAAATCGATAACGCAGTCAACCTGCAAGAGAAATGCGTAATAGAATAATCGTACGTACATTGACACGTCACTGAACGCAAAGCAAAATATCGCTTTTGTTAAGCCAGAAATAGGCTAAGAAGCCATGGAAAACCACGGTGAGTTTTCAGTCGGAGAAATTTCAGCTTAAAAGCCATATGTATTTTGTTTCAATATTAATGGTAATTGAAAAGCAGAAAGAATTTTCAAAGTACTGAAAGATTCAAAGCTGTGAATAAGGAATTACTGAGACAGAATTTTATTTCTTTCTTTTGCTAACTATTTTGCTTACCGTGGATCTTAAGCTAACCTTAAACTAATACTCATAACTTTATTTTTCAGCCATTTCTATTGGGTCAAAATTATATGTATATTTGACTGCCATGATTATATAAGAATGCTTGAGATTCAATCATAAATCTCTCTATATTCTTGTAATGTTTTCTTTACTTTGAAGGTTGCCGGGTACTTATAAAGGCTCAAAACTACATGCCATTTTAAAGAATGCCTGAAGAAAACCCATTTTTACACATGTCCAAATAACAATGGATGTTCATGAGTCTTGGTAAATTTCAGCAATTCATGCTATAATGTTGTTTATAGATTTAAAGAGATATTTGAGGCTCAGGTTAGTATTATATAGAAATATATCATATTTCAATACTAAGAAATGCTTTTCTATTTCTCTGAGATTCTAAACAGTAATACCCCAAAGATACATAATAGGCAGGACCGACGAAAAACAAATGCGTAAGTCGACGTCTTCGTATATAAAAACATATATGAATTCTAATTAAATGGAACCAGAGGCTTAAAAAGCGCTTACTTGGGAAGAAACGTATGTAATAAAGAATGTAGTTTTCCTGCATATTAATGCGAAACATATTAAAATAAATGTGCTGCAAAAAATGGAGTTATTTCGATGTTTATAGCTTCATAAAATTCAAAATTTTTTCTTATGCCTTAATCGCTTTTTTTATTATGTTAAAACTTTTTCATAACAAGTTAATATTTTTTTATTCCTTCCCTTATACCTAGAACGCGTTCCTTATTAGAATCTATGTTCTTCTAAATTTGTATCCATTTTTAAATTGAGCCGCCAATAGATCTGGTTCTGAAAAGTCGGTTACATCATTAGCGATTTACTTACTTATCTCTATAAGGTCATCGATTTTCAGTTATTTGCTATATGAGTCGAACATCTTGCTGACGTCATCATCATCAACTTCTAAATCTTATTGTCTGGCAATACTCACAGCTTCTTCTATTACATGAGTAAGTTGATCAGTTTCTGCCGTTGTTTTCATCTCGCGTTTGACGAAGAATAGCAAATTTTCTTCCAGACAACTATTCAAGCATTTGGGGGAAACTGCATTTCAAGATTTTCCGACGATTCATATGGCATATAGTACACTGAACTGTATAGGGAACCGAAGGAGGTCATAATAAATGAGCCGGGTAACTTCAAGTTCACGTAAGTCAACGTATTACTGTACCTTTCAAATATTTTGGTTTTTCCTTATTTCCATCAGTCATCATCAATTCACTACTCACAAATTTTATCAGCCTGTTTTCCAGACTGTTGACGTAAATGAATTTAAAACATATACTTGCTTATCCTTATCAAAATTTATCCCCATTGAAGAATTTTGAAGCTACAATGAATATTTGCGATATTTAAATTATTAAAATGTTATTTTATGAAGTACTATATTTTTGAATATCTTTCCTCGAAATTAGTAGATGTTGTTTCTTCAACAGTACTTTGGTGAAAGCAAAATTACCTCCAGCAAATTCTCTTATACTTTTACCCCTATATCATCTTTGCAAAAGGATACAATGATACTTGAGGTACAAGCTGTGCTATGCATTTACTATAAACTATTTCCAGTTATTAAAACTTTATGATATGCATTAAGCTTGCTGGACGTTCACCAGAAAGCACAGTATAAAACTGCTGACGAATATTCAGATTTTGCTATATTTCATTTTTTTTTTACATTCATTTGCACTTTAATTATCAGACTTAACCATAATTATATATATTGCTTGCATATTCTAATTAAAGTGCACTTTTATTTTTTTATTTTTATTTATTTATTTATTTATTTTTGGATAGGGTTTAGTTTTCGTGGTAGCATCTCCAGCCCCACAAAAAAGAGAGTATCCTCTTCTCATTCTCACCATGAACATGTGATCAAAGCACTTACACAGTCTGTGGATAGTCATCAGAATCCTGCGTACAAAAATGGTTGGTTCCAATTTCAGTTTCCTTATTTATTTTTATAATAACATTAGTGTGTTCTTTATAGAAATCATATTTAAAATGTTACAGTTTTAACAAATAACATGATTATGCAATTTGTTCTATATATAAATTTTTAATCTAAGCGTAGTTAGTAAAAAATATTGCTTGAAAATTAATAGAGCTAAGTATAAATATTTTTATATCTTAAGAATTAGTATTATAATTCATTTCCAATGTGGATAATGGTATGCACTAAAATTCTTAATGGAGGCAAGTAACTTCTGAAAATTTAGTATTTCTTCTAACAATGTATTCTGCATTTCAGAAACGTGAAAAAGTTATCGGAAAAATTCCATGGTGTTTAAAACTTACTAAGGGAATACTGATTCTTTATTAATGAAGTCAAAATATAAGTATAATGGCTATTTTGCTCGAAAATCGTTGCCATTTTTTCAATACATCATAAAGTTCTTTAAGAAAATTTCCAGTTCTTAGACTTCCGTTTAATGTTTTTTCCCTTAATTCAATTGCTTTTCTTATAAAGTTGAAAATGTAACTTACATTTGTTATTTTATTCTCCAAAATGGTAAATCACTTACAACACCACTTTCCGAACTGAAGATACAGTAGTTATTTTCGTACTCCGCTACTAAATTTATAACTATCCTGTAGGAATCTTTGTGCTCAATGCCTGGCTGAGTAAATTAGCTGCTAACAATGAAGTCCACCTTGAGACTTCTGCTTGAGACTGGCTAGATTCAGGCCTACCGATGGCTTTCCATCTCAATCCGTCATCTAAAAGACCTCATTTTAACTGACATCAATCAATGAGATTTTTCAAACCGGAACAAAGTTCTGTAGACGAATTTCACAGATTCGAGAAATGGTTCAGTTCATATTTGTTATTTTAAAAAAAATATCCTTTTAACTTTTTAACAACCATTAGATGTTTATATTACATAAAGTATAAATGGTAGTTCTTTTTAATTGTTGCCAAAAATGCATTTGTTTACTCCGTATTTACTGGCAACTGGAATTATCTGTGATATTTTTAATATGTTCGCTTTTTAAAACAGGCCATCCGCCGCCTCTGGATAGTCAAATTTCCAAAACTAGTCTCTCTAGCCTTTTAACTTCAAGCGGAGAAACAACAACGTTGAGAGAATTCTTGTTTCAAGTTTCTCCAGTTGACATTGAAGCATGGCCAGAAAGAAGTCTTTTATCTAAAGTTCTCGAAATAGTTAAGGTGAGTGTGCAGTAATCAAGTGAAAATTTTTGGTTATTATTATTGACTTAAAACTGTGCGATTCGTGTGACAGTTAATGCTTAACAAGTAAATACGGCATTATTATGATATACCAGTGTCAGCTATACACATGACTTTTGTCAGCGTTGAAAAAGAAGTCTCCTTTTTGAGCTACTCTCCATAATTCTGAATTTTAAAATACACTGCCGTCATTTAGAAATTATATTTACTGAAATATATGCATGCGTATGCTGAATTTAAGTCAGCTAATAATTTAAATTACTTTTCCATAATATGACTTAATAATACACTTATCATATTGTTGAGAGTTGAATAATAATCTATTAGATTATTGAGGGATTGAATGAGCCCCTTGTCTTTATTTTAAGATTTGAGCTTTCTTGATAGCATCAATAAGTTAAACCTTTTATCGGCATTTATGGAAAACCGGACTCACAGACCTCAATAACACCCTAAAGAACTTTTGTTGAATCTAAATCCCAAATACGATAATCTGTTCACGCATTTCAATGCCGTTCACTTCAAACTGTTGTTTCGTGAGTTCTTTGTGGAATAGTTTGCTCTAAAAACATTTCGCCAGATATAAAAAAGTATACGCGGTATATTTTTCCTATATAATATTGATGTGTTTCATAGTTCAATAAAATGTCAATAAATATATTCGATACTGTTTCACATGATTAAAGCTGTAAAGGATAAACACTTTGTATAGGTCTTGTGGCAATGCTGGATTTTGTTTTCAATTTTACAATTCTCACAGTACCATCTTTTCCAATCGAAGCCAATCTCATCTTTTCCATGTTTGACTTCGCCAACTCGTGCTATTGACCACTGAAGACCCTTCAGGTTATCAGAACCGATGAGTACTATATCTCCCATAGAAATCGGTTTGGAATTCTTTTAGAAAGATTAGCGTGTTTTAGATGTCCAAGATATTCTAGTCGAAATCGTTTCCGTAGATCTCCGCGTATTCTCTGCATATAAAGATGTTTTTTACGCATATAAAGTAGCATCAATGTTGTCAATGTCTGGTATTTCACTTTCTTTGTTCTCATGTAAGAACATCGAAGGACAGAGAGCAATTAAGTCGTTAGCATCTTCAGACAAGTACGTCAAAGATCGTGAATTTATCAGACTTTCATTATAGTACAACACTGCACTCAGTTCTTCATAATTAAAATAAGCCTGACCTAATACTCTTCGCAAAATCTGTTTGACCATGCCGATCAATCGCTCCAACCATCCGCCCCACCAAGGAGCTGATGAGGTAATGAATTTCTATGTTATCATCTTCAGTGTAGATTCAGCCTCTATTTCCTTCCAGTCAACTTTGCAGAGTTCACTGTGAGCTTTCGCAAAACTATTTCCATTATCGGAATAAATAATGGTCGGTCTGCCTCTGCGTGCTATAAATCTTCTCAATGGCAGCAGGAAGGATTCCGCTATTAAAGCTGTTATTAGCTCCCTATGCACAGCCCGCTACATGGCGCAAGTGAATAGAACTATCCAGGACTTTGTTTCCAGGCTACAATGGCCCTGCAAGATCAACACCTGTGACCTCAAATACAGCAGCTTCCTTTACTCGATCTTCAGGCAAAAAAATGGCTTTTTAAGATAACTTGTCGAATCGTTTTGCGACTTTGCAAAATCCAATAATTTTCTCGAAGGTGATTTATTAATATTTGCACCCCTGAATGCCCGAGTTCCTTATGTTTATATACGATAAGTATATGCACAGTTCTATGCTTTGATGGCAGTATTATTGGTAACAGAAAATTTTTCTTAGCTTTTCTGCTGATGATCTGTGTTCGTACTCTTATTAATCCTTTTTCCTCATGTACTGGACGAAGAGGTTTTATTCGTTGATCATTTATTCCATCAGGAAATTCTTCTCGTTGGACAGTTCACAAAACGATAAGTTCCGTTTCACTGATTTCGTTTACAGTTAGTTCACCAGAGCATGACGAAGCTTTAGATCTTAGATGAAAGTTAAATCTAAAACTCCAAGCAACTATTCTAATGAGTTTTCCGTATGATGAAATTCTGTGGAGGTTTACTTCAGTTTCTATGCTTGAATGAGTTTTCGTTACGCTTTTTCTCATTTCAGGAGTTATATCTTCAAGATTATAATCCAATCTTTATTTTGGCCATTCTTCCTGATTTTTCTTGAGCCGATTGGGGCCCTCCCACCATCTAACTGGCACAAGTTTCTTGGCGGTGCAACCTCTTGATGGAAGGTCAGCTGGGTTTTTGTTCCAGCAATATGTTTCCACGCATTTGGATCCGTCAGTTTCCTAATCTCCCTGACTCTGTTTTCCACAAAGACAGTCCAGACGATCTCTTCTTTTTCAATTCACGTCAAAACTATTGTAGAATCCGTCCCAAAATGCATTTCTACATTTTGCCATTGTAAACCATTTAAAACGGGAGAGCACAGTCTGGCTTCTATCGTGGCAGCTATCAATTCCAGATGAGGAATTGTGATAGACTTCACAGGAGCTACTCTAGATTTCGATGCCAACAGATGAACTTCAAACCCAGAATTCTTCGTAGTTCCCAAGAAAACTGCAGCAGCATACGCATTGCTACTGGGATCACAGAAAGTGTGAATGCTGCAGAATTTCCTATTGTCCTTGCCGGAGTGTACCCAACGTAGGAGTGAGATTTCTTTTAAGAGAAAAAGGCCTTTATACCAATTCACAAAGTTTTGTTTTGTACTCTCGTCGACTTCAGTATCCCAAGAAATTCCTATTTTCCATAATTTCTGCAACAATATTTTGGGATACAAGAGAACAGAACTCACAACTCCAATACGATCATATATTTTGTGTGTTACAGCGAGAATTGTTCTCTTCGTTATTACATTCATTTCTAAATCGTCTAACCAATTCAGACTCAAAGTTAAATTATCTTTCTAAGAGTTCTATAACAGGCCCAATACGGGTGGAATAGTCTCCTGTTTCAAGTTATCTCCGTTAAATAAACAACCTCGAAGGTTAAACTTTCCTTCATACATTAATTCTCGAGATTTTTCAATGAATTGGATCATCTTGGATTCATTATCCAAAACTGGCAACAACGTTATCTACGTAGAAGCTATGCAAGAGTTTAGCTATCATCTACGTATCATGTTGAGAATTTTTCATGTATTTTTGTAAATGGAATTCTATAACAGCTGCCAAAAGGAAAGGACTACCCTTAACCACAAATACAACTCTAGTGTGACGAAATATTTTCGTTTTCTTTTCTTTCTCATCATTCCACCAGAAAAATCAAAGCCAATCTCTATCTTGAGGCTTGACGCTGATCTCTAAGAAAGCCTTCTCAATGTCTGCTACAGTAGCAAACTTGCCTTCACGAAATCTCAACAGAAGAGAAGGAACTAGTTCTATCAAATTTGGACCACACTTCAAACACTGATTTAGAGAGGGAGACGATTGTTTCCTCGCAGACGCATCAGACATCGGTCAAATTGACGTTGAGCTATTTTCTTTGATCACCGGTGTATGCGAAAATACATTTTCTTTGAATTCTTGGATCTCCCCTAAATTACACTAGTCGTTAAAAACTGCATTGTATCAAAAAATAAATTCTGTGATAGAAGTTTATGGGTGGTAAACTATAAACGCTTCAAAGTTAAATCCTTGTGGGTGGGAAGTGGTACATGATTCTTCGCCCACGGAAGTACGACTTCATAACGCCCCTCTTCGTTTAGAGATACAGAATTTTGGTACTGCAATTTTGCTTGCAAATCCCTTTCCTCTCTCGTCGTCTATGTAACCGGATTTATTATTCTAATAACATCAAGTCTCTACAGTTCTGAGAGCGTGGTATCATTAACAAGCAGATTTGTCACTATCATGGCAGAATTAGCAACAGTATCTACAAGATAAGGTTTTTTTCCCATTAAAGTCCATCCTAACAGTGTTCCGATAGACACCAGTCAGCATGACAAATGTATTACTTCGCCATTAAAGAGTTTACCCGCTGCGTCATCCCCTATTAACAGATCAGTTTCTGATGATTCAGCTTTCCCAAGGATTAATCCATTAGTCATAACAATATCATTATCATAAAGTTCTTTAACAAGTGTTTCTAGCCTCGGAATAGGGATTTCGGAACAAATTTCTTGTTGGTCAAGGACTTCAAAATTGCGGTGGTAATCCTCATTTACACTGCTTAAGTATACCGATATCTAAAATGCTTTTAAGAATGTTCTTTACCACCAAAAAATTATGAATAACGTTTTCCTCCTTAATTTTCTGGTACTGCATTTCCCTTATGTCACGTTTAATTAAATAAAATCGTTGAGAGCCCGTATCGATGAGTGCACGAATTATTTTTCCTCTATTTTTTACCATTTCCACAAATTATTTTTCCATTTGTACTCCGTAATCTCATATACAATGTCTGTAAAAGGAATTTACGCGTACATGGTCTATACTTAACGCTGTATCGCTAATCACATTTTGTTTTACTTCCAAAGTATTTTCCTTTTGTTCTTTACATTCCTTCAATTTTTCTTCATTGTACATAACTCTGCAATGTCTGCCGCGGCAATTTTCGCAAATAATTTTAGACCTGCAGTCTCGCGTTCTATGCCCGATTCTGCAACATAAAAAAACCACATGATCTCTTCGATAATAATTTTTTCTTATCATTTAGTTGCATTTTTAATGCAGCTTTGCATGCTCGTAAATGATTACCCTTTGCACAAAAAAACAGACAATTCGTTTATTTTTCGCAGTGTTTGTAGCGTCGGAAAGTCCAACGGCAATAGGAATGTTTTGCGTTTTACTAGCAGATGGGGGGGGAATAGAATGTTTTACCTTACTTTCAAAACCGAAACCTTGCTTTGCCAACGATATTCTCTCTGCACCCTCTACTTCGGATTTCAGAAAGCTCATTAAAGCAGTAAGATTATTTGATAATTTACTAGTTTCACGTAAACCTATGCTTCTTTCTCATACTCTAATAACATCTTCCGGCAAACAAGATTCAACGAGAGGGTATAACATACTTTTGTATTTGTTTGACGTGACGTTTAATGTATCGAGTGCTCTCAAATGAGTTTCAATTTTATCGTACAGCTTCGCGAGACGTGTTGCTTTGTTTCGGCTCAATGAATTATTCAAAATTAAGCTCAACAATTCTCTCACATATCTTTCTATGAGGAGATCCTCTCTGCCGAATCGAGCTTTAAGACATTTAGTTACTTGGTAATAATTGTCTGCCGACGGGGAGGGGCCATCAACGATATCTCTTGCACGTCAAACTTTAACAGTGGCTTGAAATAAATATTGAAATTTATCTTCAGGTGGAATTTCTGGATCATCGTGAATTTTCTTAAATTAACCCCAGTAGCCCAACCATTCCTTAACATCACCACTGAATTTCTTGATTTCGATTTTTGCCAGTTTAAACTTCCTGTTTTGAACTGTAGCATTAAGAGTGCTATTATTCCCAGGATTAGTATTACTCGTTATTCTTCGTACCTTAGTTCTAAGCCTCACATATTTTTCAATCTATATTGTACTACCCTCGTATTTGTTTATCAAAAGCATTTTGAAAACATTTAGGATAATCATATAACAATTTTATAATTTCTTTTTCTACCAAATCAAGCTGTGACCATTTCTCGTCTGTTTCATTAGGATTTCGATTTCCTCTACATCACGTACTTCTTTTCCTTAACAGTTTTCCAATTTATTAAATATTCATGTAAAAACACTTCTTAAAGGAGTACGTATTTCTTTAGCCCTTCCATTTTTAGAGCTTATAAATAATCATGCAATAATACAATTAAATAAATCCTTCAAGCCCGTCCGCCCGAGGGCACCATTAAATATTTTAGGAGATCCATAAAATATGTCGAAAGGTAAACTTACCCTTTTGCCTTCTTCGTGGTGGGCGGCTTGATTGAAGCACTCTAAAAATGGGAAGTAATCCATTCCAAAATGAACTAATATAGTCGAAAAATGGGAGGCTTCATTTCACACTACAAACGCACTTTATTAGTACTTACAAAAGAACTTAACTGATAGAAACATATAAAATTATAAATACGTAAGCAGCATTCATGGCTGCATCTCTTCCTTTCATCCACGTAAAGCAGCAATCATGGCTGCATCCCCTTCGTTCTCGTTTTGACTCTAAATCTCTCTGGTTTTATTTTAGTCCTCAGTTCATGAGGTTCGTGCTTAGCAGCGACAATAGGAAAGCGTAAATTTAAACTTAACTGGTTAGTAAAAATAAATATAAATCCCTACAAAGTAATTATTTGTCGGGTTGTCGAAAGTTCGCTGACTGGAAAGAGATTTCTAACAGACCGAAGCTATATTAATTTCAGTATCGTCAGCTAATCTTAATTTCAGTATCATCCATAGTCTGAAGAACTTGCTTTTAGGGGAATTTACAGTTTCAAGCAGGCAGGTTTCTTCTCATCTACTGATTATAAAACTGTAGTGAAGATCATTTTAGAAAACATCAGACCTCAAGAAAAAACATACTATGTCTTAGATCTTCGGCGATCATTTTGCAACAACAAGATTATGAATAGGTAGGGCCTGTTTGGAGAATGTTCATATGCAGGGACTTTTTACCCGAAAACCCTTTTGTTTGCGTTCCGTTCACTCACTTAAATAGGATAAATTACTAATACTTGGGCAAGAGAATATATAATTTAGATTGCCATGATTTTAAAACAGAATGAAAGAGAGGACAGCCACTGTTATTCTCTCCGAAGGGTATTCAGATATCTTAGTGTCATAGTTAGGTTATTTATCCTGATCTCCACATGTTTGATGGTAGGTCTCAAAATACAAATAGTAAAACGAACTTTTATGATTTAAGATGAGCTGAAGTTTCCCTAAGATGAATTTTTTTTCATCTTAAAATGTAAAAGTGTTTTTGGAAACATCTCGAAGGAAAAAATAGCCTGTAAATTGTTTGGGAATTAAGCACAAATCATTGTTATTAACATTTCTTCAGAACCATTTCCATTTTATGAATTTCTCAGACGGTAAATAGCAGGTTAATTCTTAAAATTTACAGTAAAATCATGGATACTTCATCGACTCGGTGATTAACGGACGTAGGTCGGTATGGTGATAACGGATGTAAGTCATACGTTTGTGGTGTTATTACATTTGCTAAAGTTCACTTAAACCTCTTATTTATCAGACATCTTCACTATTAATCAAGGGTTAGGGATGCTCTTTCGTACTTGGTATGCCTACATATACTACGTAGACACAACAAATATAAATAATATATATCTATATGTCCATATTTTTGTATTTATGTTGTGCTCGTAGGTATATCAGTTTCGTTAACTTAATAGTGAAGATGTTCTGATAAATAAGAGGTTTAAGTGAACTTTAACAAATATCTCAAAATAGTTCATTAGATTAGATAACTTTATTCGAAGTTTGATTTCGTCGTCACTCAACATACTTTTTATATATTATCCTACTATTTATTCTTTTTTTCTTTCGTTTACATGAACTGAGAGTAGTTATCTTTTACTCCCTGCGTTAATTTTCCTTTGAAAATGTTACAAGAGGCGTAATTTTTTATAAATTAAAAAAATAATTATTTTTACTTGATGCTATTATACAACAGATTTGTTTTACTTTAATAAAATACGCAGCATAGCTTAAAAGTCTGATAAAAATACTCATCCTTCACTAACTAAAATCATTTTGAGGTTCATGATGTAATTCAAAAAAGAAACCTCCTGTGATTAAACAAAGCACTCTTAAAGAAACGGAAGTGATCGCCTGAAGTTCTTGGAAAAAATAATTCTCCACGGAATGAGAAAGTTTCAAACTTTACCATCCTGATATTTCTTTCAATCTGCAGTCTTTCAAAAATAATAAATCGTCTCTAAGTAAAAGCATTTTTAATTATAAAAAATAATAGTATTTTTAAGCTCCATAACATCCAAATATCGTAAATGTTTCTGGCAGTATATTTCAAATTGAAAACTGTACCTTTTGCATTTTATAAATTTCTGTTTGACCATTCTTATGTGTTTCAGGCTCCCGTCTGCTTTTTATTGATCCTTACAGTTCCTGTTGTTGACTACGAAAATGACAAAGATAATTGGTGCAGACCATTGAATATCATTCACTGTCTGTCGTCTCCTATGTTCGTATTATTGGCTCTTGGAGGTGAGAAAATTTTTTTGCATCGGTTGAAGAATAAACCAAGTCATTTATAACATGTTACGTAAAAATCAGACTTTTATAAATGGGTTCTATAAAATTGTGGGTTTCCACGAGAGATCACGAGGAATCTGACCTTAGTCGGAAAACAATTAACACAGTTATTCGAATTTTAGCATTCACATTGATGACATGAGGCATTAAAAGGTTAGCTATTTAATAATATTTTTCTACGTCTTACACATTTATTCGAGCCTCTTCATGTCACTTAATAAGAAAATACTTTTTCAAGCATTTGTAAGAAACTGCATCTTATTACAATTTTAATCGTACTGCTTCGATTTAAGATTTTCCTTTTATAGCTAACTTCTACTACTTAGCCACGCATTTTGACCAGAGCCCGAACTCATTAGAATTTGCTTGCTGAATTCCTGTTAATGGAATTGAGATAAGCATTTTAGTCTCTGCAAGCCGCAGATAATCTTTGAATTTTAACTTAGTTTTTCTACTGGCCACGAGTTTAATTTTGTAAGTTTTGTAAAAGTTGTAAGTTTTAATAAATATTTCAATTGATTTGCTTTCTACTAAGTTATTTCTCTACATCAAAACTGATGAACTTCTGAATGACCAGTAAATCACCACCGGCTATAATGTGTAGCCAAAATGTTAAGTGATATAAACAGCAAAATCGCCATAAAAGTACATCCGACTTTTTAGGCGAATATTGTTTTGCTACCCTCCAATAAAAATTAAATAATGTTTTGTTGTAAAAGGTCACTTTTACACATTTTCAAGCAAACATATTGCATAATATAATTTATACACATTGAATCATTAAAATTTCTAGGCCATGAAGGAAGTCAACAACAATCTGAAATTTACATAGAAGGCAAATCAGACTAAAAAAATCTAAATGTCTTTTAAAATTTCTAAACACTTTTTACTTTAAAAAACTTTAAATTTTGTATTAATATATTCTCACTCAGTTTCTTTTCTTTTATTTTATTTTAAATTTAAAATAAAGTTTCTTGGAATATTTTCCTTTGCTATTCATCTAGAAGCAATTCTTTGATAATTCTTTCTGCTGCTCCTTAAGACAGGTTTCAACTATCATTTATTATTTAATATTTAATGATTATTGATTTTATTTTTTAATTAATTTACTTTTATTTTAACTTGGTTTTATAAATGTTCGCTTCAAATTGTTTTTAATTTGTACCTTCCTTAGATAGTTTACCATTCTTGGTTGATATTAATTCAATGTATTTTATCTCTTTTTATAGATATTAAATAAATTAACATCATACTTTAAAAAGAAATACGTTTGGTTACTTTTACTTCAGAAACTAACTCTTCCAAATCAAATTTTTGCACATTGTCATATTCATAATTTAGCTTCGAAAAACTTCCCCCTGCACTACATAGCAATGCTTATAGGTATTTTAACAGTATTCGCAAATCTGTAGATATATATATAGATATATTTGATGAATGTTTCTTAATAACTGTAAGCGCACTTTTTAGGACCAGTTCCTGTATGATAAGACGTTGCATTATTTTTAATACCTCGTATGAATGAGTTGTGTGTATTTACAAGCTTAAGACACACAGTATGTTTATTTGTTTAGAATTTTTTAATAACTGTTTATCTTTTTAGAAACATATATTATATCTTACACAGTATGTTTATTTGTTTAGAATTTTTTAATAACTGTTTATCTTCTAAGAAACATATATTACATCTTATACGAAAACATATAAAAAAAAAAATTTTAAAAACCTTTCATTCTATCATGCAGAAGAAAATTGAACTGGTCAACTTTGTTTTTTTTTTTTCATACTTTCTATTAAAGTACTCCACAAGGCGATACGGCTGCGTAATCTAGCAAGCAGCATTGTTCTCATTAAAGCCCTCTTTTCTTTTCTTTTGTTGCAGCGTTCGAAGTTTCATGCAGATCAGTTATCACTTTTCCTTAACAATAAATGACGAATCTGTTGTAAAAAAGCAAGTTTTTATTCATATCTTAATGTTGTTCACTTAAGGAAAGTCTACATAAATTAGAAAGTGACTCTCGATGCGTTCGTAATAAATAATTCCGTTATCAGTTTCCCAATCACAAACAAAGGGGCATTTTTAATGCCAATATTTGGATCAAGAGTCGCCAAATTTCATCTCACATTTTATGCAAGTCCACAGAATATAGCATGGCCTGTCAGTTTTTTCTTCAAATCAACAACTCCTATATGCTGGTAGAAACAAGGGTAACTTCTGATCTCATACGGAATAAACGAAGAACACAGTTAGAGGGAGGTGATTCAGAATCCTATAATCAAATCTCTGTATCGTGTTGCACGATTCTGAAGGTAGATGAACTGCTTGTGTTTCTCTATATCGAGAAGTTAAAACAATGTTCTGAAATGGACACAGCGAAATTCTTCGCATGACTTTATGAATACTTGAGGGTACTCCAGATTGAGAGATCTAATTTTGTACGAAAACCCTTATGACCATTATAGTATCTGGTTCAAAAACGGATAATTCTCTGGACACCTTCTGATATAATCCATGATTGCTTGTTTCCAAAACTTTTATTCATTTGCATCAGAGTCTTTGTTTTGTAAAGTGCACCTACGTTTAATGTAGTTTCTCAACATGATCATCATTAAATTTGGACACTTGTTTTGGAGCAAAATTAACTGTTCAATATCTCTTTATAAAATATTTTAGTGTTGTCTTTTAGTCTTTCATGTATAACTTGTTTTATAGCCTTCTGTAAATGAATGAAAAGTAGAGTATCAATTTAAAAGACTTAAAAGATATCTTCAGAACTTAATATGGAAAGACTGTTGCTGATTTAATCTTCTTCTGCACCCTCACCGAAGAGGAAACATGCTTTTGCCCTTTCTGTTAGAAAAGAAAATTATGACTTTTTGAAACTTTTCCCCTTCACTTACATTTCCATTGCGTTAACTTGTCACGAAACATTAATATTAGCAAAGCCACGCAAAAATATTTAACAGCAGGGTTCTATTTAAAAAATGGAAGGCTCGGAACAGGACTGTTACGGAGGATTCTCTTCTAATTATCCGTGTAGTAGATTCCCTGGAACAAAAAATGTATATAAAAATTTGCGTAGTTTAAATACTACAGAAGTATATGGAGGCCCGGGTATGCGACTTAATAGTGTTCAGTTATCAGATTAGGTAAACATAATTATTCATTCTAGACATTTTTACATTTCCTGTTTGCACCCCAAAATTTTGGAAATAATCTTGTTATCAACCGAATAGTGCCAAGACAGTACACAAATTTATACTAATAATCTGTAATAATAATATCATAAATAAGTATAATAATAATAAATATAAAAATATAATATAATAAATAAGTATAATAAGAATCTAAATAAATATAATCATAAATAAGCATAATAATAATAAATATAATAAATAATATCATAAATAAAAGTATAATATAATAGATATAATAATATAATATCATTAAATAAGTATAATAATAATAAATAAATATAATTTTATAATATTATAAATAAGTCATGCATCTCAAACATCAAAAATTTAAATGTTACATTTTAAGGTTTTCATTCGTTTTTCTAACAGAAAATAACATTTAATTTATTTATTTCGTAGTTATTCTTTGCCTTCGAGAAGCTTATTTGCTCCTAATAGATTCAAATTAATTACTAATAAAAATGTTACAACGTGAAATCTCGTAGTTGACGTTAAACTTCATTGCTTCTTTTTCCTCCTTTGATTAGCTGATTACCAACTCTAGTGCTAATCAGTTGATAGTCTGGATTTGGGAATGACTGATATCAATTATTGACATTCCGAATAGTGTTAGCTGAAATTTTAAGCTTTTTTAACTTTGAGCTCGGGCATGTTTTGGACAGCAGGCATTTTTCTTTAATTGAACAAACTGAAGCTGAAATTTTTTTTAAACCTAATCCAATATTCATGAATTCTAAATGTAATCCTTTGTGAGTCATTAGTCTGAGTTTTCAACTGTTCAGATAGTGCTGAAGAACGACAAAGTAAAAAAGGAGTTCAAATCGGCAATGATTAATTAAACATCGGTTAAGTAAAAAAGGAGTTAAGTAAAAAAAGCTGATTCAGAAGTCAAATAACAAAAATCAGCGTTAATTTACAAAATTTTCACAGGACTAGTTTCGATGGTTTTACCGAACCATCATCTTCAGCTGCAAAACCGCAAATGAACAAGATAGGAAATAATGTTTAGATAAGATAAGAAAGCCTGGACAAGAATAAGCAAGTGGCGCCATTTTGTTGGCGAAACCAGAACTAAAACATAATTTCTCTAAAAGCCGAAGGCAAATTTGGATTGGAATTAGGATCGCTAACTAGAACAGAAAGATTTTTATGAATGTGAAATGCCTCTAGAAAATCCAGTTCTCCAATGGAAGATGTTTTTTGAATAATTTTGGCAGCAGAAAAATTGAAAGTGTGATTTTCGGACCAACAATGTTGAGCAACAGAAGACTTCTGTGTTTCCTTTTTTCTAACATATGCCTCATGTTCTTTGACGCGAAATTTTAAGGCTCTCTTAGTTTGGCCAATGTAAATTAAACCGCACTGGCAAGGAATCCTATAAATACCCCAGGAATTCATATCCGGAATGGGGTCCTTGAGTATAGAAGTTGGAATTTTATTGATGGGAGAGTAAATAACCCGAAAGTTAAATTTCTGCAAAATATGTGCAACTTTATAGCTAATTGATGGAAAGAAGGGAATGAAAACAGAATTTTTATAATCTCCTAAAATAAGAGTGTGGCTTTTAGTGTGTTGAGATGAGAATTTTTTAACTGCTTGATTAATAATGTTGGGTGAAAAGCCCCTGTCAATAGCTATTGCTTTTAAATAATTTAGTTCTTCATCAAGGGCTAGTTTGGAGGAGCAAAACTTGAAGAGCACGGAAAACATAGGAATAAAATGAAGCTAACTTTTGTTTAGTCGGATGACATGATTTAAAGTGTGGTGGAAGGCAAACCGATGAAGGTTTACGGTAAACTGTAGTACTGAAGTTGGATGTGTTACGTGTGACCAGAATGTCGAGAAACGGAAGAGAATTGCAAGTCTCAGGTTCAAAGTGTGAACTGAATAGCAGGATCAATAGAATTCATTGTTGAAAGAACTTTATTTAAATCATCTTTATTACCTTCAAACAGAGTAAAAGTATCGTCTACGTAGCGGAACCATGCCGGGAAGTTTAAAGTTTCAAAGAATTTTGATTCATAATAATGCATGTAGATATCAGCCAGGATGGGACTGAGGGGGCTTCCCATGGTTAATCCCTCAGTTTGTTTGTAATATTTATTTTGGAAAACAAAATGTGTTTTGTTTCAAAACAGAGTTGAGTGAGAGAAATAGAAATTAGCTCATCAATTTCGATGCAAGAGAAATGAAATTCGCGAAGTCTGGTTTCTAGACATCTTAATGCACCCTCCACTGGGACCATTGGTGAATAATGATTTTACATCAAAAGAAACCATGAGTAAATTACTAGGAGAAATGTTTTTAACCTTTTTTACAAACTCTATTGAATTTTTTATGTGTAAATGTTATTGTCTAATAGAGTGGAAAATCTAGAAACTAAATATTTAGCTAATGGATACGAGGCAGTACCTAAATTTGATACAATAGGGCGGAAAGGAATACCACTTTTATGAATTTTGGGAGAGCATATAATCTGGCACAATTCGCAACAGATGGGATAAGCGAATGTTTTAAGTTGCTTGAAATGATTTGCGAAGATTTGATCGCAGTTTTTATTTTGGATAAGTCCGAAGGTGAAGGATCTTTAGGGATCGGATTATATGGTCCTTCGTTTAAGAGTTTAGTGACACCATCGATGTAAGTGTTCTTATCCATGACGACTATCTGGCCACCTTTGTCGGCCTTTGAAATGATAATAATGTTTCACCCAACATTATTAATCAAGCAGTTAAAAAATTGTCATCTCAACACACTAAAAGTCACACTCTTATTTTAGGAGATTATAAAAATTCTGTTGTCATTCCCTTCTTTCCATCAATTAGCTATAAAGTTGCACATATTTTGCAGAAATTTAACTTTCGGGTTGTTTATTCTCCCATCAATAAAATTCCAACTTCTATACTCAAGGACCCCATTCCGGATATGAATTCCTGGGGTATTTATAGGATTCCTTGCCAGTGTGGTTTAATTTACATTGGTCAAAACTAAGAGAGCCTTAAAATTTCGCGTCAAAGAACATGAGGCATATGTTAGAAAAAAGGAAACACAGAAGCTCTCTGTTGCTCAACATTGTTGGTCCGAAAATCACACTTTCAATTTTTCTGCTGCCAAAATTATTCAAAAAAACATCTTCCATTGGAGAACTGGATTTTCTAGAGGCATTTCACATTCATAAAAATCTTTCTGTTCTAGTTAACGATCCTAATTCCAATCCAAATTTGCCTTCGGCTTTTAGAGAAATTATGTTTTATTTCTGGTTTCGCCAACAGATGGCGCCACTTGCTTATTCTTGTCCAGGCTTTCTTAACTTATCTAAACATTATTTCCTATCTTGTTCATTTGCGGTTTTGCAGCTGAAGATGATGGTTCGGTAAAACCATCGAAACTATGTGTGTAACTGTGAAAATTTTGTAAATTAACGCTGATTTTTGTTGTTTGACTTCTGAATTAGTATTTATTCGGCGTGTTATTGTGTCTTAATTAAAAAAAGCTGGATTTCATAAAGTATGTATCACATAATGCAGAAGTCGAATAAACCTCATGAGACACCCGAACACATAACAAAATGTAAAGATTAGACATTATTCCAACAAAAATGTTTACCGAGTTAGCAGCTTACTAAAGGTGCTCATTTTTACTTTTTTAACTTCTTTAAAAACCTTTGATTTCTTATTTTCCACTAACACTAAAAACGACAATGCTTTTCTTTTTGTCTCTTCTTAGAATATGACCAAAATGTTGGCAAGATACCTGTATGGGGTATTGTTTTATTAGTGTCAGTTGCAGTGGCAACTATAGTGTTCTTCACTTCATCCAATGATTCTGCTCCTATATATCACGGGGTTTTCGGATATCTGGGTTTCATTGTGTCTGTTTTATGGGTGTACGTCATCGCCTCAGAGATTGTCTCGTTGTTAAAGGTAAGAAATATGCTATAGTTATATATGGTTCTCAAACTTTTTCCCCTTTGCACCAATTTAATCATTGCTAGACCATCATATTCCCCTCTCCTTTCCAAATTTTGAAAGATACATATACATTTATTTAAGTATAGATTACTTTTTAATGTGTTTTATAAATTAAACAAGAAAAGATATAGAAAATGTTGGTAAATATTAAAATTTGAGTAAAAGCAGTTTTTTATACTCATACACTAAATCTAAATGCATAACAAATCCAGTTTCAGGTAAGACTGGAAATTTTAAAACAATACAAAGATTTGTCAAAAATACTACTAAAGTGAAAGACTCAAGGAACATGGAACAACTTAGACTGTTCAGTGTTTGTTTAAAATTAAACAGAGACTATTAAATTTTTCGGAACTAGAAACATGAATAATCAAGTGTGTCCTTGCCGAGATTCGAACAACGGATCTTTCAACTGTTAGCTTGATGCACTAACTGCTTATACCACGAGTGCACGGTACGGGAGAATGCGATAATTCCTTAGCTTCTTCTCGATTTCAAGGACGACTAAAAAGAGACACGAGATCCAATAGATCAAATCCAGCTTGTGATAACCTGATGTTCATAGGTTATTTCGGGCGCCATTATTGATACCATGAGGTTTCTCGTAGAAGGTAACTCGAAACGTCAAATGTGTCCTTGCTGGGTATTCGACCGCAGATTTTCCAGTTGTTAGCTGGACATGCTGACCGCCTATTCCAAGAGAGCACGCACGAGAGGATACACTGTACGTCGCTGGAATGACTTCTGACAACGGTGCGTAGCCCAGAAGAATTAGAAACCCTCCCGGCGGGGAGTGACCGGGTTAACAGACCAGACAACATTTACAATACATTCAAAAGTTGTATAAATGTGCATGCAAGGCACTAGTTAATTTAATGCATTAGTTGCTGATGAAACACAAGCTTGTGTATGAGACCATATACAAATACTGCTGTTAAGTTGCGACAATAATTAGCAATATGATGCAACATAGATATTGATACAATGAGAATGCAAGATAGAATTTAAGATACGTACATTGGCCTGAGATAATTCCCTATATGTTTATGGAAACTATTTTTATGAATTTATTCATTTAGAAATAAATGGTTAAAAAAAAACAGTTGATTCGCTGTAAACAGACAAATGAAAACTTTAAAACTGACTATATAAGGCGATACATCGCTGTTTTGCGACTACTCGATGTTTCAAATTACTATTTACTGTGTTCTCAAATGATCAAGTTTTGAATAAAAATGCAAAATAATTTATTCATATATACTTGACTAAATTTTAATTTGCAAGTATGTAATTTATGAAATTCTTCTTTGTTTTTTCTTGCGGTCTTAAATCATTATACGAACATGCATGCAAATCTTTTAAGGTCTGAAAACACATGTCTGTGATGTTATCATCATATGATGATTTTTAGGTGCTTTATTTTTTACAAAGATATTTTCTACGACGATGTTTTAAAACTGCGAAGCATTTGAACCGCTTTATTTTCGACGATGATGTTTTATATCACGATGCTTTCTCCTTACTTTCTTTTTTCACACTATGTTTTTTCTTTGCATTGTTTTCTCCTTGTATTCGTACGCGATATTTTCGGAGACCATCGTATTTTTTTTTTTTTTTTTTTGAAATGTGCAGAATGAGACATATGTATAAAATCATGTGTATTACTTTTCAATACAAAATACAACAGATTTACTAACATTTATGCAATTCCCAAATTCCATAAAACACTATTAAAATTCAGATTTATAGCTAATGGAACTAATGGAATTTGTTTTCAAACAAATTTAACATGCAAGTTTGGATATCTTCACGTATGAGAAAAATAAAATGAGAGTTAGATTCTTACCAGTTTTCATAACAATGAATCTACCCTACAAAAACCCTCACTTTTAGATGAAAAGAGTTCACTTTAGAAGATGATCACACATTCAAGAATACATGATTTTATACATATTTTATTTGCAGTTGTACTCCTGTCTTCTCTGTTTTAATCCGTTATGTATATGAAAAATGAATTGATTTTTCTAAAGGAGGATACCCAATGAAAGGGGTTTGATGAATTATTTGAGATGAGCAGGTTTCGAACGCTGCCATACTGTGTTTAACGTTTCTTGTGGTTGTTTTTCTAAGAAAATTTCATTTCGGGCGTTCTATTTCTTTGTTCCATTTTCTCCATCCTTCATCACCAAAATTCACCCGTCAACAAATCCTTTTTATGAAACTTTTAAGATCCTGCATCTTGCAAAACTGCTGTCTCGGTTGCCATTTAAAAGTTCCAAATCCCTATTCAAAAAAGAATGCTGCATCTCGCTTTGGATAAAGATTACCTTACAGTGTTCATGTAAATAACGCACGTCTAGCACAAAAACTGCAATCACAGCCGCGCACAGAGCGCTAGGAACTTACATTTACAACGAGGCACTCTGTAATAAGTTAGTACTTTGGGCCTGAGTAGGACGTCTGGTGCACTAAGGAACAACAAAGAGTCCGTCCCGGAGCCAAAAGTTTTCCAATATGTTTTAGTTTTCTGAGAGAGAGCAGGCTGCAGGCTGCTTAGAGAGAAGGCAGATGGTGCATCATCAACTAGTAGCCGCATGTGCACGTCTCTGTGAGTGGGCATGCTGTTATGTAATGGTCTGGAGTACCAGCCTCACCGCACACACAGAGGTTAGATGAGACAAATCCTCTTTTACAGAAATACTCTGAAAAGGGGCCGTGACCAGTTACAAATCTTGTTACAAAGGATGCCGAGATAAGTCGATCAGTGGAAACTTTATGGTAAAATACAAAGTCTGTCTGAAGTTGGTTACAGTTGGAAGTCTCTGTCCTGAAGTTGGAAGTCTCTGTCTGAAGTTGAACATAGAGATCTTTAAACCTTACCAGTAGACAACTTTTTATATGAGGAGTTTAAACAAATAAAATATATAAAGGAATATGTGATATATTCCAATAAGCAATTAATCAATATTTTAACATTATATGAAAACAATTCTACACAGAAATTATTCATAAAGTTCAGTAGTTCTCAACGCAACTACTTATCAATTTGCCAACCTTACAGAAACATCTATAATAAACAGGATTAAAACTTTTCATAAAAAAACTCAATATTACTTTCAATACAAAATACAACAGATTTACTAACATTTATGCAATTCCCAAATTCCATAAAACACTATTAAAATTCAGATTTATAGCTAATGGAACTAATAATTACAAGAAAAATGTAGACTATTATTTTTCAATTCAACTTAAAAAAATCTGTAAATTTATTTTCAACGATTGTAACACTAATCATAACTATTGCTGGATCATCCATAATAACACTCCTGTCATTAATGCCATTCAAACAATTAACATTCAAAACATTAACTACTAGGACTTTGAAAACTTATATACCTCACTTCCTCTAGAAGAAATCTATACCAGTCTACTTGATCTGCCTAAACTCTTCCCTGATATGCTCACAATTATGACTCTTAACAAATGGAAAACCTACCTAAAATGCACACTTTTTCATAACTACATCAGGTTTCAAAATCAACTTTTTAAACAAGTCAGAGGTTTGCCAATGGGCTTACATTCCAGCACCTCGATCTGTAATATATTTTTATTTGTCAAAGAATTTAACTTCCAAAAAAAAATCTACAACCACAAGAGTTAAATTACTACAAACACACCTACAGATATATTGATGACCTTATTACAATTAATAATTTTGGTAATATTGAACACTCCGAGAGATTTATCCGAATTGTCTTACACTCTTAATAAAACTAATAATTCACAAAATAGCATAGACTATCTAGATCTTCAAATCATTAACTACAAAAAAAATTTACTTTTTGACAAAACAAGAAACTTCAATTTCAATACTAACAAATTAATAAATTGGAACTCCAACATATCCAAAAAAGTAATTACAATACAATAAATAAATCAAATACAACGAATTAAAATTATCTGCACAGATACAATAGATTTACAACGCGAAATTTTACTCCTTATTAAAATTCTCAAAAATAATCTAATACCCATTCAATCTATTAACCATTGCTTTAAAAGAGCAGGCGTTAAATACTCACTCTAAATCATTTAACTGATAGGGATATGATAATTTGTTCCTAAACCTGAGAAGGCGGTATAAGTTGGATGACTATCAGTTGAAAGATTTGTATATAGTGTAATTATTCAGTTGTATATATTGTAAAAAGCTAATTGTCTTCAGACTTATGCTGTTTCTATGCTGTTACTAAAAAAATGGGCCTATTTCATAATCTTTAGTCTGTCTAATAGCTCTTACACAGTGAAAATTCCCTTTTTTCCTTTCTTAAATTCTTAATCATTGCGACACGACAATTAGCCAGAAATTAATTAATTTCCATTCACTAGTATTTTCAAAAAAATCTTAACAAACAGTTTCACTAAAATAAGAACTCCACATAATACATCCCTCAAGAATTCCGAGTCCCACCCACTACCATAAATTACTTCACCCAAGTCTTACCGACTGATATTATTCAAAGTCCCCACTGCCGCTAAGAATTTTTCGAACACCCTACACTTCTGAGTCAGACACGAAGAGAACACTTTGCCGACTCCCCACTAGAAAGAATGTAAGTTACTTAATACTTTTTCTGGCCTTTATATCTTCATGTACATTCACTGTTCTTATTATATTTTTTACTTTTATATTTTTGATTTGTTTTTACAAAGTTTGCATTATTTATCTTATTTTGTATTCTTCTATGTTTATTTCAACTTTATACTTTGAATTCTATTTCATAATGACAATTTCCAATGTTTAATTTTTACAAATAATATAGAACTCAAATGCGTAAACACGGGGGTGTCGGGGACGGTTACTCGAGTTTTTTCGAATTTCTCTACAGAGATTGCTTTTCACTCAAAATTGAATTGGCTTAAATGCTTCATAAGAATAAGTTCCTTGAGTATCAACATTGGTTCATAATCCCTTCTATTCGAGGAAATATTTGGCTTGACTAGAATTGCCGGTTTGGCTTAACCTTATTACTCGAGTAAAGACGAAACACCTTCGTATTTACGTATTTATTCTTTAGTATTGTTCGTTGAACGGGAGTTGGTTTGTTCCCCTTGAAAAGTCAACTAATTCCCGATCAATGACAATGATTACATGCTTTTAATTTAATTTTTCCTTTTGCAATTGATGATTTAATTCCAGTCCCCGGTAGGGCATTATTAACATTACTTTCAAGTTGCTTCATAACATCTTTCAAAATATAACTTACTAGTATGCATTCGCTCTTTTAGAATAGTTCTGCTTTAATTAAACTTAGGAGATAATATAATCAATTAATCAATATTGTTTAGGAAATAAATTATTAGATATAGATATAGATATATAGATATATAGATATAAAGAAATATGTGATTTCCTTTTGTATCTTTAATTACTGCGGATAAATTTTTAAACTAATAAGCTTATCGTAAGTATTTATTTTAAAATAGTTTGAGATGTTAACTAGAACCTGAAGAGAAAAATCAAAGCACAATTAGTATTTTTTTATTTTGTTAAATTTTTTTATAGGTAAACTCTTCTTTGAGGTGTTAGATTCTGACTTCAGAATGCAAAATTTTTAAAGCTTACTAATTCAGAAGTCAAACAACAAAAATCAGCGTTATATTTACAAATAACACTGATTTTTGTTGTTTGACTTCTGAATTAGTATTTATTCGGCGTGTTATTGTGTCTTAATTTTAAAGCTTAGTTTAAATTCTGAGAACTCACTGACATGTGTTTTAGCACACGTAATTCTTTTTGGTAAGATATCGGTTATGGTTTCTGGAGTGTATGAAATTCTGAATCATGATATGGAATTCAAAATCAACTATCCTTTAGTATGGATAGAATCGCTGCTGTCATCCAGAAAATAGATAAAGTAAAGCTTAGTAAGGTTGCTAAGAATATGATGAAACGTGTAGATGTGAATTAAAATGGAGAGCCATAGTGGGCAATATATGTCTCATAAATACGTATACTTATTATTTCTACAAAAGATTCACTGTTAAACTGAAGACCCTGTACCGTTACCTATACAAATAGATTTTGTTTTATTTTTATTTTAATCTCATAATAATTTTCCTCCCTTATGATAACTTTATCTCGTTTAATTTAACTTTTATTTTGTTATAAAAGAATTATTAGGAAATGTCTATCATTTAACGAAATAGTAATTTTTAATCTAAACATATTTAGAAACTGCGGAAGAAAAGAAATGGAAAGGGGGACAGCTGAAAGTTTGAGTTAATAAAATTTTATATTAGCACTCTTTCATCTCCATTAAAGAAATTTGAGTCTACAATAACGCAACGACCTTTTCTTTGCTTTCAATAACTTTGTAACTTTTTAAAAACAATTGTTAATTTTACTAACATATGTTTTATACTTACAGACTGTTGGAATCATATTCAAACTAAGCGATGCAATTCTAGGTCTAACAGTTCTTGCATGGGGAAATAGTATAGGAGGTAAGAAATTCAGAAAGTTTTCTTCTATACAGATTAAAACAATTGAAGACACAAAAAATTCTGATGCTATAATTTTCTTTTCCAGATTTCATTTCAAATTTATCTGTTGCAAGACAGGGTTACCCAAGAATGGGTATATCTGCCTGCTACGGAGGCCCTCTACTGAGTATCCTTTATAGTATTTTGCGTAAGGTTTTGTCATTTGTAGGAATACCATATGAATGCATTCTAAAATGAAAACCCATGCTATTTGTAAGAGCAAATTAATAAAAAATTATATCTTTTTCGAAACATGGAACGTAGAGGGAAAATGGACAAAGAAAAATATTTTTCTTTTAATTCGTTCGCCACCGATCTCTCTCTCTGTCTCTTTTTTTTAACAGTAAATAAGAGCTCTAAATAAAAGAGGTCAAAGCAGTTATTTTATGAAAGTAAATTACAATTTCAGCGTAAAATTCTTTTGACTTCGAAAAACTTTATTTTTGTAATAAGTAAGCCTTGAAAATTGATTATAACTTCTGTATGCATACCTAGATCTCAGTGCATACACCAAAGCTTTCTTCTTAAACATGAAGAGTGAATATCTTCTTTCTGTTTAGATAAATAATTACTTTTGGAAGTATATTTCATTGTCTCCTAAAATAATTCCGAGTTTAAGTGGTAAATATGCCTAAATAATTTATTTCTCCAAATTATTTTCAGACACTAATTTTTACGATGTGCAAGATTTATTTCTGTGTGTTTCTCTGATACAAAATCCCTTGGACGCATTTAAGACTTAAGGAAAGAAAACCCACTCACATATCAAAAGCTTATTCTATGGGAAAAGCAATAAATTTGTAGGAACTTGTTTGAGAGCGGGTAAATTTTTCTTTCTTGAAAATACAAGAAGTGGACCTGAAAGTGACCACGGTCGTGACGTCATATATACTGATTCGGTAACGCCGGTTTCGGTTACTTGTGATTTATAATAAAATGGAAACTGAAACCATTTTTTTATGTTTCTAAATGCATTTGAAATTAGAGCTCAACACAGAGCAATATTGTGATAAATGGATCGAACACATACTGCACTAGTGATTTCACAAAGAAAATAGAAAGAGCGATGCATCCATATATGAGGGATGAAAATAGTCACTACTTTTGTTCTCAACTTGCAGATCATCTCTCGGATTATGAAGCAATTTTTCACCTGTCACTCTGCTTGGCAACTAGCATTATATTATACTGACAGCGGATTGTGGTCAGAAAGTGTTTTATTCTTCTCTTTAGCTTTATACCAATACTTCTCCGTTAAAATTTCTCTCCATACTTTTATACTATTTCCAGAATTCTCTCCATACTTTTATACTATTTCCAGAATTCTCTCTATTCTCATTGGTTACGCTATAACCATCGTACCCTTTTTTATTGGTGTAATGGGATAAGAATGATCTTTGCTTTTGTCATCCCTTAAAATAATACATTATATTTCAGGGCTTATATTCATATGCAACCCCAAATAAAGCGAAATCCTGTGTTTTATTTTATTGTTTAAATATTAATCATTAATTTAGCTTAATTTATTAAATTTTCATTTATTCTTTACATTTTACTGAACTGTAATAACTTATAACCCTTTTAATTATTAACTATCCATTTTAATTATTAACTATCTTATTTATTTTACTTTTGTTCCTCTTTCCTACAACTTTCTACAGAGCTCCGGCACGTCTAATTTTCTAAATTAAGCTGCAAATGTATTTTGATATAAGTCACTATTTGTAGCAAAATATCATATATCTTTCACTTTCTTCGCTTTCATTAAAATCATCACCATAAATATTTCGGACATATTTTACATTCTGTACCTTTTAATGAATTTCATCCAAACTTCGGGGATTTCTGGAAAATGAAGATGAATATTTTTTGAGCAAAAATCATTTATGTAAAAGAAAAACAGAATTTAGTGTTTGAAGTATTTAATAATTTTATTTAGAAGAATCATTAATCATAACAGTATAATGATAGATAAGGGTACCTTTATCTCATACTTGTCACTTTAATATTAACAACTAGTGAACTGAAGTTCTCATTCTATCACCGGATCAAAATGTCAACTAATATTCGAGCCATATATGAAAAATGTGAAATCCTTTGCCTTTTAAAATGTGAGAATTAGTTATGTTATTATTAGGTTGCCAAAGTATTCTTTCTGATGTTTCTTAACTCATTTGAAGATCTACTTTTGGGTATAGGAATACCATACACTCTGAGGATTGCAAAATGTGGAGAGCCACTTGAAGTAAGATGACCTTTACTAATATTTAAGTTTATTGTTAAGATGAATATGTTTCAAAAACTTTAAATTCCTTAAATCTTTTTATTGCTTGTTTATTAGTATTAATATATTAACTCTGTGGCCTAAAATTCAACGTGTCCTAGATTCAAATTCCGGTTATGACTAATAATGCATTTATTATCAGCTTTGGTGTTTTCTAACGAGTATTAAGCGATATCAAAATAATACTATAAAACATGTTTCTGTGTTTTATCTTTTCGCCTTCTTCTGAGTATGAAAAGAATTAGTTAATCAATTTTAAACGTACCTTTTCAGTTTCTATAGAAACCATTTAAAATTCTTAAATTAATTTTGATAATAATGAATTAACTCTTCAATACAAGCTTCATGCATCAGTTTAGAAAATCTCTTATAAAATGCAGTATTTTTCTTACCCTTTATAGATAGCTCTGTAATTACTTTTATACAAATGTACAATTTAGCAAATGTACAATTATTTGCTATAAGATATTAGCCTAAAATAATATTGTACATACGCCTGTAATATTTGTATACTATCACTGTAGGATAAAACATCTATAAACTAAACAGAAACTTTAAGGCTTTATTCGATAATTTAAAGCTATTTTTTATCAATACAAATGATTAAGTTATTATTTGTCAAAATAATAGCCATAAATGCGTATGTCAAAACTTTTGATGCAAAGGAATTAGAAATATATTTGCATTTTTGATACGTACGATGTTATGCGTCTGAGTTTAATAATCAGTTTTACAGCAGTTGCTACTTAATGTACATAAAAATGCTACGTAAAATTCATGCCCCCTCTCCCCAAGCTGTTCTCATTCGCCATATTTCTATAAATTATCTGACCGATGTTGTACCATTAGTCTTAATAAGCCGATTGTCCCCGTTGTTCTAAAATAAATGGAATTATTGACAATAATTTAGCAACGAAAATATCTAATCGAAACATTTTGTACTAATATACTTTGGCATCTATCCCACCCTTTTATTAAATGCAGCAAAATAAATAAAATAACAATACGCATTTCCTTGAAATAATCATCACCCCTCGTAAAAGTTCCGAAAATAATTGCAATGTATTTTGATTGTATACTATGTGAAATTTAGTTCTTCATTACAGCAATTATGTCCTTACACTATTTTGCTTTTATTTTCAGTTACAATATGACAGATTAATCACTTTGCTGTACGGTACTTTGACCATAATTCTCATTTGCACAATTTTAACCATGACAGTCCTTCGTTTCAACGCAAAGAGATATTTTGGGATCTTCTTAATCTGCATGTATGTAGCGTTCTTGAGTGCTGCCATTATGCTGGAAACTGGAATTATATGAGACATTCTTTACCCCATGACTTGTAAAGATCGCTGTGAAAGGAAATTCGTCCATCCTGTCATCACTGACTATGAGAATACAGAATTTCTGTGACTGCTCACTCCTGGGAGTTGACTAACGAATTTCTGCTAGTTAATACCCTACTTTCATGTTATTTAAGGAAGTATTGGTAGTAAATCAAAGTAAGCAATCATGGCGTGTTAGTGATTGTTCTTATGAAAGACATTGTGTTATTCATTGTGTGACTGAGAGAACACTTGTGTAAATCTGAACAACGATTCCTAATTATTATCTAAAAGCGTTTTCCACTAAATTTGGACTACATTCCTGTAAGTATGTTACAAGATTCATGTATGGAAGCAGTGAGAAAAATAAGATTTTTAATTATCGTTTATATTTTTAAAAAATGTTTCTAATTATCATAGACGAACTGAGTTTTCAGAGAGTGTGGTATTTTGTAATTCATCCGTATGTACTTGAATTAAAATAAATATCATGAAAACCCTTCTAGACATCGAGATTTCCGATTGCAAGTTAAAAATGGGTAAAAAGACTTAATTTTTGTGATTTTTCGAGACCTGTTATACACGAGTTTTAAGTATGCAACCTCATGAATACTGGAAAGATCTGATATCAATAATCTTTTCTTAGTCGAAGAGAATTACGAAACTATGCTTTCAAATGACTTCATTCCATCAATTAGTTCCCCCCCCCATCAATTAGTTTTAAAATAGATATGAACAAGCCGATTGTGAAGAACATTAAAAAATTTGTCCTTTTAGACTGTTTGATCCTTTTAGACTTTGCTTGCTGATTCTATAAAGTAGGTGGCATTAAATTGCCCATTTTTTAGAAAACTGGAAAATTAACATATTATTTAATTGAATTTCCAGGACAAATCTGGGATTTTATTTTAAAGTTTTGTTTATATATTGTAATTATGTACAATGGAAATTTTAAAACATTTCTGTACGTTTTTTATTTCAGTAGTATCTTTGCAGCATTACACAGCATAATTATTTCAAAATCTTAAGGACCCGTGATTTTAAGAAATGCAAAAGATTAACGGAATGATCGTGATATATATTAAAAGTTCTGTATATTTGATACCGTTATTTTGTAAGAGTAGTGTGTTTCATTGAAATCCATTACACGTTTAACTAAACAATAACTTAATAGTTTTTCCTCTAATGGAATGTTTGCACATAATATTGAAAACATGTTTAATACTGAAAACATGTATCGGCATGTTTTACATAGTCTGCCCTACTTCCGAAATGTTTTGCGTCGGACTTCAGTAACACCTAGATAGGGCAAGAGAAAATCTTTTCTGACAGTTGTTATAACCGATTTTGGGGGCAGGAGGTAGTCTTCTATCTATTCATGTGCTTCTACCAATCACTCACCCTCAAACTTTACCTTTGTTGTGGTGGAAAGATAACAAACACATGAAAACCTAAAATATTAACTTAATCTTTTTTCTCACTACTTGTGAGTCAAACTTATACAAACGTATAATCTAAATCCGCTGGATTAACAGCTACTGTCTCGAAAGCACAGCCATTTAACCGGCTACAGCACCAGTGTTCCTACTTAAAGCTACAACAACAGAAAGGATTATAATAGCCTATTTTACTAAATTTCCCATTTACCATGACTCATGCCTAATGTCTGAAGATCACTTCTATTCTAATAGCAGCCTCTGCGGCAGGGCATAGCAATGACTGAAACATCTGTACTTTAAGTAATGCAGGTTATGATTCTTCCTCTAAATTTAAACTACGTTGCTTACCCTAAAACCTGCATAAACTTCTAGACTGAGGAAATACGCGACGAACAAGTTTGAAAATAAAATCTGAACTGTTAGTTTAATGAAATGTTACTCCATTTCTTGTATTTCGTACCGGAAATGATTCTGACAACGAGAGTTGTTTTAGGGTTCCGCTCATATACTTGCTGAACCGATGCTTAAACATCCTAATGCGTCCATTTAATTCAACAATGGATCTCCTACTGATTTCCTTCAATACGCGGAATTTGGATATTTAGCTCGTTCCTCCGCTTCAAACATTCTTCCAAGCAAACGGTCTTCTTTACTATTGTTTCCTAACTTCATATTTCTCATAAAGCCATTGTGTCCATTGATAACCAGGGCAGAAGATAACATACATATATTGCAGTTGCCTATTTAAGTGATTTTAATTTTCTATAACTTTAAGAAGCTTACTTTTTAATTCTTCCTTGTATTTCATTGTATATAAGATAGTTCTTACTTCTTTTAATTTAACAACAGTAATTATGTTTCGATGTAGAATCTTATACTTCTGTTTTATGTTTTGTAATTAGTGAAACTTTGTTAATTTAAAATAAAAGTAAGTACACGTGCATTTTAAATCATTTATATGTAAATCAATGTGTGTGTAATAAACAATTGTTGTTTTAACCAAAGCTGTGTTTTTCTTAAACTTTAGGTTATTTGATTCATTATAAGTTAATAATTGAATCATTATTTTGTTTCTTTTTGAATAGCTTCCTTTTAATAGTATACACATAAAAATGACGCAGAAAACAAACTAAACATGTCGTGTTAGAGACATTACATTACTCTATTAAATATACAGTTCCCTTCATGTCACAGGAAAAAGAAAGTTTTAACAAGAAACATTAAAAAAATAAACATAAAAAAAATCAGTTGTCTTTTTTTTTTGTGTGTGTGTGTGTGTGTTTGTGTGTCCCTTCCAATTTCTAGATAGCCATTTAAAAAATGGGGGAAGTGTTTTGAGCCCATTATTATAGAAAAAAGCTGTCAAATGTTTTTTGTTTGGACAGTCACTTGCTTAAGAAACAAAATCTTCTGAGTTGATTTTCGATTAAACACAAGTTTCTAAATAATCGTTAGCCTTATGGAGTATTAAAACAAATGAAATTAAAGAAAGTCGTTGTTTTATTTTGTCACAAAAATCATAGCTGGCTAATGAAAATGCTCTGCATGCAGCACTTAAATTTCAACTTGTGCTTGTTTTATGATAACACTCCTATATTATGAGCCTGTGTGTGTATGATGGTGTGTGTGTGCAAGCGCGCGTATGTGTGTGTTTCATTTTACTTTTATCTTTACGCACAATTGGTTGCCCAACAATGGCCAAGTGGTAAGATCATTAAACACTCTTCATTCGAACCCGTGAATACCAGTGAACGGGTTGCATGCAAAAGCGTTTTCGTGATTTTACCTATGAATAACATGAATTCGAGCCAGTTTTATTTAAAACGTTCTTCTCGAATCCCTGGAAATCCCATCCTTTAGGCAGATAACCTCAGTGTGGTTTGACATAATCCAATTAGTTGTGTACACAGTTAAAGAGATATATAAACATAGATATTAAATATTAGTTAAAGAGATATATAGATATTAGTTAAAGAGATATATAAATATAAATATAGATCTGATATCTTTGCCGAATTACAGTATATACGTATTTGCATATTTGATTAACACTATTTCATTTAACTTAGCATTTCAAAAGACTGGTTAAGCGAGGGAGTCTCGAATATATATCTATATCTATGTTTATGTCTAATAATTTATTTACTAAAGAATATTGATTATATTATCTCCTAAGATTAATTTTAGAAGAATTATCATCAATGACTGAAAAATATTATTTTAACAATGATTTTACCGGAAACAAAAGGAACAAATGTAAAATTTCATATTAATATTCAAATAGCTATGTAAACATCATTATGTATGAAATAACAATTACTACATTTAATAGCCGATTAGAATTTAACAGTGACGTTTATAACGATTTTAATCATTTATTCCCCGTTATTATTAAAATTTTATGCTGTGGTAATCCCAGGAATTTTCACTAAAACCAGTTTTGTTTACAGATAGACTTTTTGATATAAATTTAAAACTATCTGGGAAATAAAAAGGTCTATTTCTCATTTTATACAATGTATTTTTATCTTTTTTAATTTAGTTCTGAAAATATCTCTCTCTTCAAGTATGTGTTTCTAGAATTTACATTTATAATAAAAATAACGCTTTTATAAGGAGATTTTGGAAATAGTTTTAACTTTGAAAATGCATTTGCTTTCTAACTCTTTCAATGCATTAAATTACGTGAAACAACTTCCATTTCTACATTTAGTCATACGTTAGTTATAGTTTCACTTTTCTTTAGAAGCACTTGTAAATGCTTAATAACAGAAAATTTAAAAAATATATTTTTGAAGTTAGTTGTGTGTATATATTAATTTATTAAAGTCTGCCGTCAGATTATCAGGTTCAGTGTTCCGCCTTACTTGCTTTGGGAACACGCAAAGACCTGACTCGGAACAGGGAGCTTACTAAAGCTATGTTCAATAAATGTGAGAAGTAGACAAGATAGACAGGAAGGGTATACGAAACCCTTTATTTTTCACTCTTTACAATAATTTCCGAACTTCGGAATACAGAGATCAACCACTTGTGGTCTGAACGTAAGAATATAAAAATATTAACTAAACTCTAACTTAACTTTGGAATAATAAACAAGGGAACTTTGGAATAATAAAAACGTGGAAGATTGGCCGTATATTAACAGGAAGCCGTATGTAGTACAGAGAACTGTTAACACTACAATACCTTTAAAATTATCAAGAGGATTAAACCTCTGGCCTGGAAGGCAACCAGCAACCGTAAAACTGCTAAGGCAAGCGGCCTGCTTCGACTAACTCCTTCCTTTCTCTCGCTTGGCAAAAAGCCACAACTTAAGTACTTGGCGTTCGCCAGACAAATTTGCATAAATAAGTTAAAGCTTTTAATTCTGGCCGGAAGTAGAAAATAAGAAGTGATAGTAAAGATTTAAAATAAAATAAACGTTAGTAAAACTTAAGATCCTTACATACTTCCCGCCAGAGTTAATTAGTTTGAAACTGAGGTCTAAAACGACCTTGTTGAAAACTTTTAGCTCTAGAATCTAACGCGAGGCCAATCTTTTACAAACATTTCTCACTAGAAACTAGAAATTTAAAAAAAAAAAAAATTGTTTTTACATTATCAGCTCCATGGACAATTACTTTTCATCTGTACTGCATCTAAACAGGAGCTTTTAGTTGAAATCTGGTTCCTTCCAGAGATCTGGAAGGAAAACTAGTTTAATGAAATGTTACACAATGAAATGGCAAGTAACATGAATATTTATATTTCTCTTAACATTCTTATTTCATTCATGACTTTATTTTAATTATCTCTCCCCGTGCTCTCTGACATGTGTTGTAAAAGAAAACACCAAACACGAATGTGTTTATGTATACGTGTTCAACACTGCCGCCTACAATCAAAACACTAACGTGTTAAAATTCAATATAACAAGACCTCGTAACACACCTTATCTTCAACTCTAAACCCTGAGGTACTATTCTGAAAGTGGCTAACTCTGAAGTGTAGCGTCAGAGAGCCTAACTACATTCATTCAACCTTTAACACATATTCACAATACTTTCCTCTTTTTTTTTTTTTTTTTTTTCAGTCACACGAATAAGTTTAAAATTTTTGGCATTACTTTCACTTTTACCATATCACAGTATTTCTTAGCATTTAACATAACAGTTCACATTGTATATAAGGACATATTAACATGCCGTTAATTTTACGCATTTTAAAACATACATTAGTAGTACATTGTTAACTTCTATTCTTTTCCAAGCAAGTGCCAATTCTTCTACATTGAAATACTACATTTCAAAAGTCTTTCCGACTAAAACTTCTTTCTTGCCAGAATGTTTTAAATAAAATTTATACAATAACTTTTACAATATTCAAGTATTTACACATTCCTATTATACATCAACTTTAGTTTTACTCGCGAGTAATTGAAAAACATAATACCAAAATAGGTAACAACTCATTTCTCGCCTTTTTGGCGATAAAGGTAGACCTCACATGAGGTAAAACGTCTTGAATTCTGCCACTTGCAGTAAGAATGAAAGATTAACTTAAATTTGCAAAGTAACATAAAGTTTTACTTATCTTTGTGATATTCGGACATTCTTTTCTCTGCCCAGTCCTGGAAGGCAGCGAAGATTCGTGTTTGATTTATCCTCCTCCTTGTGCTGGCTCGCCCTTCAGAGCCTTCCTCTATAAGCTTTCTTTTTCCTCCAGTTCGGTCACCCTTGAATACCTTCTTTTTCGCCTCTGCCTGTGGTCTTGGCCGTTTGATGGCAGCTGGTCTTGGCAAACCGGGACACTTCTCTCTCGTTCCTGCTTGGATCTCGTTGCTGGCCGTTCAAATTTTCCTTGTATCTTTTCCTCCGCCGCTGGTAGTCCTTCCGCAATTCGGCGACATTTGCTGCGTAGACTCCTGTCCGATGAGTAGATCTTCCGTTTGAGAGCAGGGTTATAGTTGCCGTTATTTCTCCTGGTTCTCTTTGCATTCGTCGTACTTCTCCCTTCTTCATTCTGGGGGTGGTCGTGCGCTCTCTTTTGTGGTCGGTGGAACGGCTTCTTTTTCTTGTTACCTTCAATTTTCCAACGGGGAAACTTTCTTTTCAATTGCTCCTGCCTCCTAATGGCTTGTCCTTGTGTTTGTCGTTGTTCCACCTCTGGAGCTTGTGCCTGCAGTACTTGCCGTGCCGGATCCTGCAAAAGATCTTTAAATATTTGCATTTTATTACGGTCATAGTAGGGTTTTATTTGGTCAATGTTTGCGGAGCATGTTTCACCATTCCTGGCTTTTAACACCACTACAGCGTGAGTTATTTTTTCTATGACATATGGTCCTTCAAATCGTGGAAAAAATTTGGCGGTTTTATCTTCTGGTGCTGAAGAAAGTGAATGCTTAATTTTTAATACTTCATCTCCTACTTTATAAGTTACTCCCCGTCGTTTCATAATAGAGCTTTTGTTTCTTTGTGCTACTTCAGTGTTCTTTTTTGCTTCTTTAATTAATTTTTCTATATCACCCATTTTAAATTCTGGGGCTCTTTGTTGAACATAAAATAATTTATCTAACGGCGTTATAATCTTTCTGCCTAAAAAAAAATAACTCAGCAGGGAGTTTTGCCCAGTTGTATCATGTTTTGCGGTTCTAAGGGCGAAAGCAAATTCATTGACATAGTTTATCCCAGCTTTTATGAAAATTTTTAACATAACTACGGATAATTTTCACTATATTTCTATTGACCCGTTCCGCTATATTTGATTGCGGCCGATACGGGACCATTTTTAAATGACGTATGCCCAGTTTTTGGCACATATCTTCAAATATATTACTTACAAACTGAGGACCATTATCCGATATAACTTTTAGGGGCGCCCCATATTTTAAAATATATTTTTTTAAAATAGAATCAGTAACTAATTTCGCGGAGGCTCGTTTTAAGGGAACAATTTCGGTCCACTTACTAAAATGATCAACCATAACAAGGAGATAGCGACTTTTCTTTAACTGACTTTTTGG